CTCTGATCATGGCGAACAATGAGGGCTGATGAGAAGCCAAGGACAATGGCACGGGGTTTTGATCCTACTTCATGTTCTGGCTTGGTGGGAGCCTAGCCAGTTTGGATGTTCACCTTCCTAGACATGGACGGAGGGGGGAGGACCTTGGACTTTCCACAGGGCAGGGAACCCTGACTGCTCTTTGGACTGGAGAGGGAGGGGAAGAGGAGTGGGGGGAGGGGGAGAAGGGTGGAAGGAGGGGAAGGGAAACTAGAGCTAATGGGCCAAGCAGTGATTTAATTAATACACTATCAGTGTGGTTGTTTCAGGGCTGAGCAGCTGGGGACAAGTGGCCCTCCTACAACATTTGAGTATCAGGGTGACTATGGCATCATTTAATTAATAGGTCAATGTTCCTTCTGTTACTATATCATGGAATAATCTGAAGGGAATTGTCATTAACCCTTCTTTGAAAGTATGGTAGAATTCCGCAATAAAGCCATCTGCCTCTGGACTTTATTTTTGGTTGGAAGATTTTAATGACTACTTCTATTTAATTGGGGGGTTGTAGGTCTATTTACATTGCTTATCTGATCTTGATTTAACTTTAGTAAGTAGTATGTATCAAGAAAATTATCCATTTCTTTTATATTTTTCAATTTAGTGGAATACAGGTTTTAAAGTAGGTCCTTATCATTCTCTAGATTTCCTTGATGTCTCTTTTTATGCTTCCTCTTCATTTCAGATTTTGTAAATTTGGATATTCCCCCTCCACCTTTAAGCTAATTTGAATAAGGGCATGTCAATCTTATTGACTTTTCTCAAAGAACCAAGTCTTTGTTTTATTGATTCTTTATTTTGTTTTGTTTCTATTTTATTGATTTCAGCCATGAGTTTGATTATGCCTTATCTCTACTCCTTTTGGGTGCAATTTCTTCTTTTTGTTCTAGAGCTTTCAGGTGTGCTGTTAAGTTACTAGTATAAAATCCCTTTGATTTATTATTATATAGGTACTTAAATGCTACAATTTTGCCTCTTAGAACAACTTTAATTTTGTAACATACGTTTGGGTATATTTGTATATTGACTTTCATTCTCTTGTATTCTGTTGGTTATGCTAACATCTCTGGTTCCTGCTTATTTACACAGATTTTCCATTTCCAGTATTCCCTTGATTTGTGTTTTCTTTATTGATTCTATTTCAATTTTCAAGTCTTGAACTGTTTGAACTGGTTTTTTTTAAAACCTGTTTAATTGCTTTTTCATGGTTTTATTGACTTTCTTTAAGAGGTTTACCGATTTCTTCGGATTTTTTGTTTGTCTTTTCCTCCATTTCTTTAAGGGAATTTTATATTTCTTCTTTAAAGGTCTCTATCATCTTCAGAAAGTTATATTAAAGTACATTTTCTTCTGCTTATTCTGGGTTAGAATGTTCAGGCCTACCTTTTGTAGGACCATTAGGTTCAGGTGTTGCCATATTGTTCTTTAGGTTTCCGAATGTATTCTTGCCTTGGTGCCTACCCATCTCTTCCTCCAAGGGGTGCAGTTGGGGCCCATGCATCAGGGAGTCTCTCTTCCTCCAATTGCTGCAGGTGAGGACTGTGGCTTGTGTTTACTGTTTCTCTTGGTGCAAGCATGTCTATGCCTCTGGTAGTCACTAATGTGGCTCTGAGTCCTTCTCTCCAAATGCAGTCAGAGCTAAGGCTCCAGTGGTCACAGGTGCAGTGGGCCATGGTTGCAGGTGTGGGGAGGCTGCTCTTGGGTTTCAGGTTTGGTGGTTAGCTGTGGGGCATTGGATGTTCCTCTGAGTGCTAGGGCCTGGAGATATGGATTATTCAGCTGGGAACCCAGATACCGTTCCAGGGGTATCCAGGGTCAAGGCTCCATTGGTCAGAGATGCAATGAGGGATGGCTGTGATTATGGAAAGGCTGTGCCCAGGTCTCTGGGGCTTCACTGAGTGGGCAAAGGCCATAGGATGTGCCTTCATGGGCTAAGGTCCAGAGAGATGTTCTCCCCAGCCATGAAACCAGATGTTCACCTCTCCAGAGGCAGTCAGGGCCAAGGCTCAGGTTATCAGTGATGTGGTGGTGGATGGCTGCTGGTGTGGGAATGCTGCTCCTTGGTCTCCCTGGCTTTGTTGGGTGGGGTTGGGGCACAGGATGTGTTCAAAGTGCTGGGCCCTCCAGTCGCAAACCTAAACACTCACCTCTCCAGGGTCAGCCAGGGTAAAGGCTCCACTGGTCAGAGATATAGTAGGGGATGACTGTGGGTATTGGAAGACTGCTCCCAGGTTCCTGGGACCTAGCTGTGTTGGGGTAGGGCATAAGATGTGCCTCCCGGGGCTAAGGTACAGAGAACTGGGCCCTCCAGCTATAAACCCAGACACTCATCTCTCCAGGTTCAGTCAAGATCAAGGCTCCAGTGGTCAGAGATGTGGTAGGGGATGGCTGTAGGTGTGGGCAAAGGATTGTATTTGTATATAACAAAGGAAACAATTGCCACCGTAAAGAGACTGCCTCCAGAATTAGGAGCTGTGAGAACCCATGCTGCTGCTTCTGGAAGTCTCCAATCTCCACACTGATTGGCTAGAACTTCCAACAAGGCAACCTCTTCACCCCCTCATCTGTAGAACCCAGAACCCACTCCCTGTAGCTATAGGGTTTGCCTATATGGATGTTTTATGTAAACAAAATCACACAATAGGTGTCTGGTTTCTTACACCCAGTACAATGTTTCTGTTATGAACACACATATGTGGATTATACATCAGTACTTCACCCATTTAATTGCTGAGAAATATTCCATCATATGGTTAAGTTGCAGTCTGTTTATCATTTATCAGATAATAAAACAACATTTCACTGTATAGCCCAGGCTGACTTCAAACTCATAGTCTTACTGTGACCACCTCCAAAGTATTGGGACTACTGACATATGCTCTCATGCCTGCTATATAATGCTGTTATAAACATGTACAGGTTTTGTATGGGCATATATACCTAAGAGTAGATAAGCTGGGTCATGTAGTAACTCAGTGTTTATAGGAACGACTAGACTCTTTTCTAACGCAATTTCACTCAGGATGGCAATGAATGGGAACCAACACAAAACTGCTGGGTTGTGCTTAACATTTTACTTAAAATGTACTAAATGAATTATGCAATGTACCAATAAATGTACTTAAGCACTTGGAATTTTTGGTGATATTTTGTTTTGTTTCTTGATTCTCCAGCATGAACTTTGTACATCACAATATTGTGCTGACACGTCAAAAGATTGGACTTATGTGAGACTTTCCTCTTCTGTCTTCCCACAGCTCCTTGCTACTCACAGTTTACTGCATATGTTAACTGACAATATAGCTCCTCCCATGCAGGCGAAGTTCCCTCCTCAGAGCTGAGAATCCACAGAGACGGCCCTGTCTTAATCTAATACTATATTTGTTAGAATATCCTAGAATCTTCCTGTGTAACACTGAAATAAAAGACTGGATCTGATAGAAACATCACTTAGAAAGGTTTTTTTTAATGAAAATATTGTGCTGTCACAATCGGAGGGACTCCCCCAAAGGAATAAGCTTTATTTCTGACTGGAGTCAAAGAATAAAATTCTTACAATTTGTCTTCATCATTAGTGAACCTTGGATGTTTCCTAGATTCTACTTAAGTTATAATCATTCATGGACTATCACAGTTAAGAAGCATACAAATTTATTTCCTGATATATACTTCCCACATTTACTTCTCTAGTATGTTCCTCTACAAGGAAGTAGAAGTAAGTAAGTCCTGTTCATGTTCTCAGTCATCTGTTACCCACGCAACTTTGTCTCCATATTGTCTAGCAGACACCACACTTCTGTCGTCACAGATTCTCACTGCTCTCACCCTTTTCCATTTTGTCATGACTCTCCACTGTTTCAGTATAATTGGAACTCTCTGATGTATTTTCCTGCAGAAGATTTTTCTCTCCCTTCACTTTCTTCTTCAAATTTTTTTCTTTTCTTTTTGTCTTAATAACTGAAATATAGAAATTATATTAATGAGGTTGGAGTAATTGGAAAACAGAAATGAAGACAAATGGGTGAGGGGAATCCATAAAAAAATAAAGGTATTTTCAGAGAAAAAATAAATGATCTACTAAGGAAAGTAAAAATATTTTGATTATATTTTGGGTTTTGGTTTTGGGGTTTTGCTGTTTTTGCTGTTGTTTTGGAAACAAGATCTTGCTACGCATTGCAAGCTGGCCTTGAATTCACCATCCTGCTACCACTTCCCAAGTGCTGTGATTCCAGGTGTGAGCCACCACCCTCAGCTGGAATTTGACTTTTGAAATGATTACATTCTATGTTCCAGCCTTTCAAATACCCAATAATAACTGGATAAAAAGACAATGGAAAATATTTTCTATGGGTTCCAAAGGCTGTCAGCCTCAGTAGGCATCAATTGTCACTTCTGCCTTTAGTCTGTCTCTTTGGGTCTGGACACATCAAAGCAATGAACTGTTTAAGAACAAAGTGAATGATGTTGTTGTGTTTGGACTAGACACCGAACTTTACATGTTGAACCTGAAAACCTTCACAAAATCAAGCATCCTCTCATTACAAAAACATGGCGATAAGGCCCTTCCACTGGGAGAAATGATGCCTGTTGTATGGACCTGGAACCCATTTCTACACCAGGATGAGGCAAATGGGGTGTCTGCTTGTAGATATTCCTAATGCAGGAATGGTGCACCAATAATAAGCATGTTCAGGGGAAAGTTTCGTGCAAAACTAAGTGTTTTTCCTGAATTTTGTCTTGGATTCTTGGAATCAGCTTACACTGAGAATCAAGTAACTAGACAAGTACCCATTGGGCCCTGGAGTTTGATGAAAATGGTTCATTTTTATACAAATACCCATCTTTCTTAACTCAGACTCTATTTGATTCCAGTTATATTCTTATGAAAAACCAAGCGACCATTCCCAGCCTTGATCTAAGAGGACAAAGCACCTGAGCCGATGAACTTCCCCAGCTCCTCATTCTTTGGATGTGGTTTAGAAGACTCATCCTGGCCTTCATCTTCTGAGACCTCCTCATCTAAAAGGGGAATCTCGACCTTTTCATACAACATTGCAAGCTGCTGTTGTTCCTCAGCTTTTACCAGCCGACTGGAGAAGGACAGAGATGAATGTGAGGGCAGGTTTTTTTTTTTTTTTACAGTGAATCATTCTGTTTTATAGAGAGGGTTTTTAAGTTTTATTTATATGCATGTGTATATGGGAGAAGGGAGGTGGCGTCATGTGCCTGTGAAGACCAGGGAGGAGCTCTGGATCTGGAGTTACAAGCAGTTATGGGCCTCCCAACCTGGATGCTGGAAGCTGCACTCTAGTCCTCTGCAAGAGCCTCAAGTGTTCTTAACCCTGAGCCATCACTCCAGCCACGATAATAGAATTTTTTACTCAAGAGAAATTGTTTATTTATGTTGGTAGATGGAGAACAAAGGCGAAAATGTGTATTTATGTGAGACTTCAAATTTCTGATCTGACCCAGCTGATTTATGTCAACAAATACTCTGATAGTACCAAACCTCACAACTAAAGCAGGACTGGATATAAGTGATATACTTCGACTAGATATAAAATTCAAGGAATTTACAACAGAAATCACTATCAATGCAATATGATGCAAAATAAAATTAATGTCGAGGAAGACACAAAGAACAAAATGTTAAGATTTTAAATAAATGTAAGATACTATTGACAGTTCCTTTTATAGAGCCTCTAATACCCAGGCTTGGCCCAGCATAGATCCTGTACTTAATTGGAGTTAATGAGACAGATTGATCAGCAAAGAGTTTGTCACACAAGGCTGAGGACCCAAGTTCAATCCCCAGTACCCACATAAAAAGTCATGTGTGATGGTACACACTGTCCAACACTGGACAGGCAGGCAGGCATGTTATTACCACAGCTCACTGACCACCCATCTAACCTATTGAGCTCTAGATTCTAAGAGATCTCAAGAAACAAGATGGATGGCACCTGAGAAATGACACCCAAAGTAGACCTTGGCCTACAGCCACACACAGCAACACACTCACTCACACACAGACAAAGATGTTGTTGTTTTGGAAACTGGTACTATTCTGATATTGACATTTTATAGCACTACATAAAAAAATATCATTCATCCTTGTGTTGGTTTAAATTAAAAATGACTCCCAAAGGTTCATAGGGATTGGTACTATTAGGAGGTTTGGCCTTGTTGGAGGAAGTGTGCAGAGCAGAGGGGGTGTGGGTAGAGATCAATTAAGTGTCAGACAGATTTTTTTGGAACAAGTACAGAAAGCATCCATATTCTTTGCCAAAATATCACAAGACCTGCCTCCAAACCACATATGAATATTCTTCTCATCTGAAACCTTTTGAGTTGGCCCAGACAGTTCAAATCATCCTCAGTACCACTGTCTTCCATGCCCAATAAGCCACACTTATCTAGGAAAGCATTCCACTGCCTTCCCATCCCAAAGTCCCAAAGCCCTCATTCCTCCAATCAAAAATGTTGTCTTGCTTATCACAGAAATATCCCAGTCTCTGATACCAGCTTCTGTCTTAGTTAGGGTTAATTGAAAAATTATGGGTTAACAGCTTTGGCAGAGGACATTTCAAAACAACCTAACATTGATTCTGTTGCTTAGTTATTAGTGGTCAGTACTATGCAGATCTATAATTAAATGGAGCAAGGTAAGCAAGACAAAAAATACAAAATATACAGTTTGAGAAGAAGAGGAGCACTAGGAAAGAGTTCAGAGAAAAGTCTGATGCTAAATGGAATACAGGGAGTGATGACCTCAGGGTGGGACCCCCACTAGTTATGCGTCCAACTTATGAAAAGGAACTAACGAACAGCGTAGGTCCAGGTGTGCAGTACAAGCCTTTAATCCCAGCACTCAGGAGACAGAAATAAATGGATGTCTCAGTTCAAGGCCTGCCTGGTCTACAGAGAAAGTTCCAGGACAGTCAAGCTTAGACAGCAAATGAAACCATCAAAAAGAAAAAGAAAAAGAAAACTGGTGAAGATGCAATTGAAGGAAAGAGTCTTGTTACCGCCCCCGCAGCAAACAGCAGAACTTGGCAGCTTCAGCCATGTGGTTTTGACTTAAAACTCAAGGATAGAAGAAAGGGGTTGTGGAATCTCCCTCCATGGCTAAGGAAAGCCACTGAGCCTAGGCATGTGCGAGGGGTATCCCTGCATTGGAGGCCTTTGTGTGAAGCTGTGAAGGAGAAGCCTGAACTGTTTTTGGAGACCCTAAAATGATGGAGATAACAGCACCATGGATACCTGCCAAGAAAGGTTGCTAATGGGGAATGGAGCCAGTCAAAGTGAGATAAGTGTGTTGCAGTCAACAAAGCTGAATAAAATTGGAGATCTGAAGACTATTTTGACATCAGACACAGAGATGCAGAGTTTGGAATTTGCCCAGCTGTTTGTCAATCTTGTAAAGAAACTTTCTGAGAAGAAACTTCAACCTTGAACTTTTAAACAATGGTAAGACTTTGATAGATTCTGGGGGGCTTTTGAAGTTAAACCAAATGCAGTTTTGTATTATGATATGGCCACAAGCCTATGGGGGCAAGGAGTGGAATGTGGCGGCTTGAATGAAGAAAGGCCCCCATAAGGAGTGGTACTGTTATGAGATGTGGACTTACTGGAGTAAGTGTGGCTTTGTTGGAGGAAGTATGTCACTGGGGGTGGGCTTTAAGGTTTCAAGTGCTCAAGCCAGACCCACTGTCACTCTCTCTTCCTGCTGCCTACAGTGTCCAGATTTTGAATGCTCAGCTATATCTCCAGGACCATGTCTGCGTATGTGCTTCCATACTTCCAGCCATTATAATAATGGACTACACCTCTCAACTGTAAGCCAATCCCAATTAAATACTTTCCTTTATAAGAGTTTCCATGGCCATGGTACCTCTTCACAGCAATAGAAATCCTAAGACAATCCTGGTTAGTGAATTTTTAAAACACCCCCTTAAAGTTTACAGTTGAAGTAGGGCCTTCCTCTCGCCACTGGCGGTCCAGTTCTGTAAGCAGATCTGTAGATAGCTGTTTCTGTTTGATGTGGAAATGGATGACAGTGTTTTAATTCTCCTGACAAACTTAACTGCCTAGCTCTATGAGACTTGTGTAACAAAAAACTTCTTTGATGATTAGCTTAATTGTATTCTAAAAAGCGGTGATATAGGAAAAGCAATTGTATCATCCTAGGTACAAGTTGCAAAATGGCAAAAAAACAACTTCTCACAAAATAATTCATTAACTGTATTAAAGACATTGATTCAGACAAAGTGACACATTTGTCCCAGATGAAAATTTTTATAGAATTTAAAAATACATAGGAGAAAAGATAATTATTTTAACTCAATATTTTCAAATGTTGATATGAATACAAAAAGTTTATAATAAGACAAATATCCAGAAACAATCTGTGCTTAGCATCTTGGTGCAATCCTATACTCCAAATTCAAGCCAAAGGCAGAATAACAGTAAGTTCTAGGCTAGCGTAAGCTAAATTGTGAGACCCTGTCTCAAAAAAAAAAACTTCTTCTCGAAAAAGTTTTTTAATAAATGTCTTTATTTGCTATACTCAGGAGGCCATCAACTTTAATGGAGGTTTGTACTTTCTTTGGCTATTTCTGTAGAATTCCAGGCTTAATCAGAACCACAGAATGTGGTCCAAATAGCATAATGCCACTTGGACTTAAAAGTTTCAAAATGATGATGCATTTGGAAAATCCCCACCCAATGTGATTAAAGTATGCTTATGAAATTCTCAAAAAACAAGTAAAATCATTTTAAATATTTTTAAAGATAAGAGTTTACCCCAATATCTAAATTCTAAAACTCAGTTGGCAAAATGATTGTCACCCAAGCCTGAGGTCCTGAGTTAAATCCCAGGGACCCACATAAAATATCAAGTGTGTTGGTACCCATTTGTAACCCCAACACTGTGGAGATTCTGATATTTCAGTTCCTCCTCTCTTCCTCCTCCTCCTCCTCCTTTTCCTTCTCTTCTTCCTCCTCCACATCCTCCTCCTCCTTGTCTTCTTCCCACTACTACTACTTTGCTAGCATAACAAAATAATCACATTTTGGAAGCATTGATCTGGAAGTGTAATGTGGTCATAGTAATTTAGTAATTAGAAGAAATGTCACCATCATCATCACCATCCTTTGGCACTAAATAATTTTCTTGTGTATTTCCTGCCCTATTAGTTAAGAGCAGGGGAGGTTATTTGGCATATACTTACTATATCATATAGGAGATTATGAGTCCACATATCAGGGCAATGGCAAAGGCTATACTAGAAATTGAAATTACATGAACAAGACCAGGTCTACGTGGAATTGCTTCTAAAAAAAGAAAGAAAAGAAGTTTGTTACAAAAAAGGCAGTACTTTTAGAAATGACATCCCTAATTTTTTAAAAATTAGGAAACTAATTGAAAACTAAGGTTAGAGACATCCCACTTAGAGATGAGTGCCCCAAAGTGTCTCAGTCTCTGTACATTGTTCAATTATGGGTCTCCGTGTTAGTTCCAATCTATTACAAGAAGCTTCTCTGATAAGGATTAAATGATGCTCTGATCTATGAGTATAGCGTTAAATCATCTTATTGCTGTTGCTTTAGCTGGATAGTAGTAGGAGGTTTTCCAGTAAGTCCCATGACCTATCAAGTATCTGGTCCTTGGCCATATTAGCAGTGTCAGGTATGATCTTCATTTCAAGGAGTGGGACTTTAATCCAATCAAAAAGTAATTAGTTACTCTAGGTATAAGGGCCAGTCAATGAAACACACCCTGACCCTGAAACCAGAGTCAAAAGCTTAAAAGAAGCCAGTGAAAGAAATACACTTTGGCCTTGAAATCAAGAGCCAAAGAAATACAATCTGCCCCTGATCAACTCAGTACAAAAACCAATCAATCCCTGAGCAGGAAAACCAACCAATCCCTGAGCATGAAATCCAGTCAATCTCCGAGTTTATTCAAATTCAGGGATTGAAATCCGACCAATTCCCACCCTGATACTCTCCACCCTTGGGAAACTCTGCCTCTAAGAAGCTATATATAAGCCCTATACCTGCTCAGTTTACTGTTGCCTTTTTCCACCCTGGCAGAAGCAGCCATCCTCCTGGTTCTCCCTCCCAACTAATATCTTGAATGATGTTTGAGTGAGACCTTCTTTTCCCAGATTGGAATGGAGTAGAGAAGTAACAACTTTTCTGAAGCAGAATTGTAACACTTTAGAAACTCTCCCCTGCCGGAGCAGAGTTGTTACATTGGGGAAACCTTTCCCTGAATCAGGGCTATAAACTGCTATATTTAAGATGACTTTGTGGTATTCCTTGGCTCCCGACTTCCAGGATCCCCTTCCATCTGAATTGCAATGTTTACAGTAACTCCCATAACATTTGTGCCACTACTGCACCAGTATATCTTGAAGGTAGGTCACTGTTATAAGTAATACTGTGGTTATTCTGACTGGATGATACTGCTGATTATGCAGAAGATGAGGCAGAAAAATTGTAGTGGAGCTGATACACATGTGAACTCACAGACACTGTGGCACAAGACCTGCCCAAGGTTAAGCCAGATAAAATCTCAGGGAATGAAATGAGGAAGTGGACACACAGTCCCACCCCTACCCAAGAAGTTATTTGCATTCAATACCTGCTGGGAGGGGGGAATCAGTTCCCTCCAATGAAGTGTCACTGTGTGTATCAACCACACTACAAGGCAGGCCCCATGCTCAAGAGAAGCTGAACAACACAAGACAATCTCAATGGGGTTTTTTTTTTATGTGCTTTTTGCTTTGTTGGTTATTTTTGTCTTATCTGATTTTGTTTTGTTGTTGTTGATAGTATTAATTTTTAGTTTTGGGAGACTTGGGGGTTTTTTGAGAGAGAGACAAAGAGAGAGAGAGAGAGAGAGAACATGAAGTTGACTAGGTAGGGAGATGGGAAGAATATGTGAGGAATTGGGGGTGAGAATATTATTAAAATATATTGTACAATCTTCTTAGTTAAAATTGATTTTTAACAAATCCTGAGATTAGCTCTCTGTATCACATTTGCAGTCAAAGATATGATCTCTCTCTCTCTCTCTCTCTCTCTCTCTCTCTCTCTCTCTCTCTCTCTCTCTCTCCTTCCTGTCTTAGACGTCTACTATCATGCCACCCCTGCCATTACAGACTCTCCTCTGGAGCCTTAAGCCAAAGTAAATCCTTCCTCCTATAAATTGATTGTGGTCATGATATTGTATCACAGCAACAGCAAAGTGATATACTTGATAAAGGAGGCAAGAGACTCTTCAAGGCACTAATACTTCCTACAATACTCCCATTGAGGAGAGGCTCCTCAATATTATTGACCTCATTTGAGGGTCTGTCCTGCTGAAAGACCTGGATAAATCCAGACCCCTCTAGCAGAAAAAAATAGAGCCAAAAATCTAGAAGAAAAAAATAGAGCCAAAAATCTAAGCAGGAAGAGAAGTATCAAAAATCTAGATTAGCCTGTTCAGTGACTCTGTTTCAGGAACTAGCTGAAGATAAAGTTAGATTATAATCTTGAGAATAATCTTGAGAAACAGGAAGTTATCCCCTCGGGATTAATACTGATATTTTCGGAATTTTTCAATGATCACTGGTATTTTCAGAATTTTCCAATGATGCCTTCCCTACCCCTTTGGATTACCGGGTTGTGGTTTATTCCCTTAAAAACCCTTTCTCTCAGCTGCTCGGGGTCAAAATCTATACCCCTGCATGGTTAATGAGTTTTGGCCCCAGTACACTTGTTCCTGTCCTGTCAATAAACCTCATGTGATTGCAGCAAGGACAGTCTCTTATGAGTTCCTGGGGGGTCATGTTATCCTGAGACTTGACTGAGAGTCTCCCCACTCTGGGGAGTCTTTCTTTGGGGGTCTCGTTCAGGATTGGTGACCACCCTTGTCTCCAAAGACCTCTTGGAGGTGAGACATTGTCTGTGTGTCTGTGTCTTTGTGTTTCCGTGCCAGCTGAATTCAGGTTCAGGTTCTGTACTTTCTGGTTTACAGCCGTGTCTGTGTCTTTGTCTTTCTGTGCCAGCTGAATTCTGTATAGGTTCTGTATTTTTGGTTTCAGTTTTGCAGTTGCTCGCATCTTGGGAGGAAACGGAGGAGTGATCAGCAGACGTGCTAGGAGATCACCGACTGCCACCCTGGAAGACATCCCAGGAGGTGAGAAGGGACCCAGGAACGCCTGGGAGATTCCAGTCTGGGTGCTGGTGAGGATACAGAAGTTCTCCTAGATTGGAGGAACTATACACCCTCTCGGCCATCTGTATTTCTGGAATGGTTTTGTCTGTTTCAGTGGAGACGGACATTTGCTTATTTGTGTGTCTTTGGTCTTTTGTTTTGTCTTACTAATGACTTTGATGAATGGGACAGACTATGATGTTGACTCTGGATCAGTGGTTTTGTCTTTCTAAGTTTTCTTAAACCTTTGTCTGTGTGTCTTCGGTTTTGGTTTTCTCTTACGCACAGGTTGCATGTTCAGTTCTCAGGTGAGATAACGTGGGTGGCATTTCTCAGTTCTGTGGTATGACATGTGAGTGGTGTGGTCAGTTCTCTGTAGAGACATGCATAGATAGCGGTCTCACTTCGATAGTAGGGCAGGTCACAGCCGTGAAGCAGCTTGAAAACGTGCCTTTGGTTTGTTTGGCGCCATTGTCCTGTATGACTGTGTAATGTATGTTGTGCTTTTGTCCTGACTTAGACTGACACTGCTGTACTCAAATCATGACTTCTTTGACTTTGATATTATGATCACTTACAAGACTTTAGAGATATGGCCATAAGCATAAGGGTATATTTCATAAAAAAAAAAAAAGTCAGCCTCGGCCCCAAGCACATGGTTGCGGAGCAGCATGCTTATATGGATGGCTGGGCTATTCAGCTTTGCTGTTCAAAGGTATTGAGCCTGCCAGACACAGTTGTAGAAGGCAGATATACCCCAATAGGATTGTAAGCACTAAACAAAAAAAAAAATCTGAGGGTAATTGCTATGGTCTAAAGAGGTTAACAATCTTTTTTCCCTAATGCTGCATACCACCCTGCCGCCCCCCCCTCCCCACCCCACCCCACCCCCGTGCTGGTGGACAAGTTCCCTCCGCCTGCCCTGAGAGCTGCATGCCTCAGACCTCTGGTCAAAGCTGACCAAGGCTTGGCTCCACAGGTGAAGAACTCTTTCAGGTCCTATGGGTTATAAGTATTATAAGTATCTGTCATCATTTATAGGGGTTGGTTATAAATTACTGTTGGTTAATGTTTTTTTAAAAAAAAAACCTATTGTTGGTCTCAAATGTTTCACACTGGTACAGGATTTTATGTGCTGTTCTTGTTTAAAAATTATTGTTGGTTAATGTTTAAAAAAGCCTATTGTTGGTCTAAAATGTTTCACACTGGTACAGATTTTTATATACTGTTCTTGTTTAAAATGTATCCATACATCCCCACTGAGAAAAACCACAGAGACGACTTTGGTAAGAGTTTTTTGTTGCAAAAGGAGCAGCGGGCTGCATTCCCATAGGGATCCCGGCTCTCCGACTAGTTTTACACCCAAAATAATTATAAGGAAACTGTATTCATTTAAACACTGCCTAGCCCATTAGTTCTAGCCTGTTATTGGCTAACTCTCAAATCTTGACTAACCCATATCTAATAATCTGTATGCCACCACGAGGTCGTGGCTTACCGGCCTGAGTCTAGCCAGCTTCAGTCTCAGGAAGGGGAATCATGGCGTCTGCCTGACTCTGCGTCTTTCTTCCAGCATTCTGTTCTGTCTACTCCACCCACCTATGTTCCAACCTATAAGGCCAAGCAGTTTCTTTATTAATTAACCAATGAAAGCAACACATAGAAAGAAGACCCACCTACATCAGTTTTTATGTTGTCTAAAAGGCAAGGGAGGATTTTGGGTGCATTGTCTAGAAAGCAAGAGAGATTATTGGTATGTTGCCTAAAAAACAAGAAAAAATTTTGGTATGTTGTCTAAAAAGCAAGAGAGATTTTTGGTATGTTGTCTAAAAAGCAAGAGAGATTTTTGGTATGTTGTCTAAAAAGCAATAGAGATTTTGGTTAAAAAAAATGTGTAAACAGAAATGGGCCTTATCTAGTTCCCTGTGTATGTTTTCAAGGTCAAATTTAAAGCAGGTAGGGAGCGGCTGACAGTCTATTGCTGCAGGGCTATCCAAGGGGCCGCAAGATGCCCCACTAATTTGGTCAAGGTAAGAGAGGTTCTTCAGGGGTTGGTTGAACCACCGTCTGTGTTTCTTGAACGTTTAAAGGAGGCTTACAGGTGTTATAGTCCCTTTGACCAAAC